CATCTTTAGTCGGTCGCTTAGCTGTATGAACATCACTTACTGTAACTACAAGAGAACGGTAACGATTAAACTAGCGCTACCTAACATATTGCATTCTCAGCAAAATTGAAAAGGCCTGCATAAAGCGAGGTCATATTGTTACATTCCATTCGATTTGATAGTTTATATTAGAATCCGTTAGCTGTTATATCATAAAGTTGTTTCCAATTGTTTAAGATTATTTAGCAAGAAATAGTTTTTAAATCTTAATGCATGCATGCGGAAACTGCAGCTAGACTGTCTTATTAGCAATGTCAACTTACTTCTTACTAATATCATAAATGCGAATGTTCAGATGGATGTTTGTTTGAAGGTGTCATGAACGAATCAACGGATCTTGATGAAATTTGGCACAGATGTAGATCGTAGTCCGGAAGAACACATAGGCTACACACTAAGATTATAAATATTTCAAATCTTGCTAATTCAGTCAGTTGAACACAACTCTAACTTCCTTGCAAAAGGAATTTTTAATGATATTTTATAAGTAAGTATAGTCTCCGTATTTAAGTGGTAAGACATATAAAGTCTTTTACAGTTAGTACAACGTTGTACAGTCTTTTCTATACAGTTATTTACTCAAACAATGTCGATCTGAGATCCCATTGTTATATCAAGGGCGAAGTCGCGACGTTAGACAAATGTTTTTGTACTTATCGATTACATCCTCAATGCAATCAGAACCGGTATTAAAGTAACGGTTAAGTGTTCAACTTAGTATAACTTAGACATTAGATGAGCTACTTCTAAGGCAACTTGTGACAATTCACAGAGTCAAGTCCCCATCGGACTTATACTGTATTTTCCAACAGTGATAAAACAAAGTATGGAATTTTTATATGCAAAGAGGTACAATATTGTAGAAGTTTTTGACGACAAAAATTACATTTTCTTTGCTAAAAATATCGTGTTTGAAAGTGGAAGTGTACCATAGTTGTTACACAATACAAGATTGTCAAGATCCTACGAAAACGTGATGTAATACAAACGTCCTTGACTAAGTTATGCATACCTACGAGTTACGAGCACAAGGCAAGGCGCACGGCACCAGCCATACTTTATTTGTTCACAGATATTTATAACAGACTTATTTATTCGTCATAATTTCAGGTATTCAATCACTTTATTTCGATGGCAAATTATTTCATAATAAAAACACTTGCATCTATGTCGCTAAAATGTATGACAAAGCATAAATGACTCATTTTTATGAGAATTAAATCATTACCGTATATAGTGTTAAGTAGGTGGCTACAGACGTGTCATTTGGAATTATTTAACAGTTCCTTCTATGAAATTTATAATTTATATCAAAATGTATTTAGTTTGATATTACAAAGTTAATTCGCGTTAGTTTAACTTGCATGGCAAAAGAAATAAGATGATTCAAGGAACATTATATCGGGAACCATTTTATTTTCTTTCTATAACATGCGAAACATTTGAAGTCGATTACTATTACTAAAGGACGTTTTTACCGCTCTGCTAGATCCATCAAAAGCAAGAAAACATATCAACATTTTCTTATTGAACCATAGTGACCTTTGAGTACAACGATCAATATTAATTTTGCCGTCGAAATTAACTCACATTTAGTCCGCCTTTTTATACGACTGATGTAATCAGATTTCTTTAACCTTACCGTGGATTACTCATCGGTTAAAGGTGCCCTTTGAAGTGCTGTGTCGTCACGCTTATTCTTATACGAACATGTAAACATATTGTCCAAGCGAAAACAACTAATACTTTACCGAACCATATAATTTTTCTTAATTCATTACAGTTGTCATAACATTGAGAGCATGTTTATATAGAAATATTAAAATAACTCGTCTTACATACGGTAACAAAACTGTTTAACAAGTTTTAGTTGAATAACTATTTTTAATTTCCATGATGTTCGTAACCTGTCTTCCTTCATTTCATACTTGACAAACATTCTCATTTTCGGTCAAGAAATGTCTGTAATACTTTGGAAAACTGTTTTTGATTTACTACAGTGCCGGTCTTAGGCGAGAACCTAGTATGCTGGACAGGAAGGGGCGCCATAGGTCCACAATTAGGGCCCCTGCCCAAAGGGCGTGGTAGAAAAGAGGACGCCCGTCAAAATCTCGCCCAGGGCGCTAGTACACCTAAATCCGTAACTGATTACTTATTATAATGTTTAAATACAAATAGTTAAACGTTTATGCATAAATTAACCACAATTTGTGTGCGCATTTCTATTATTTTCAAGCCACTCCTTAACAAATGCCTTTGAAATACTTAGTGAAACTGATCTGTAGCCACTCAATGGTAAGCTAAGGTCGCATTGAAATTTTGTATTCCAAGGGTTGGGTATTCCACTCTTGTACTTAAAACATGGGAAGTACTTTCACATCTTGAATGTTTCATATCTTTATAAAATCTACGGAAAGACATAACAATGAGTACACCCAAGATCGGTGAGAGTGGCGGCAATTAGAAGCAGTTTTACAGACTGTAGATGGAAAGATAATCTTGGTGGAAAAGATATTAAGGGGAAGTTACGTCTCAAAACTACTACAGAGAACTAACGTCCGGTAATAATTATAAAGTTAATGAATCGTTATTTAATTAAGTTTATTGTAAATGCGTATGCAACATTCCTAAAACTTTGTAACGTGGATCGTTTATATAAAAACATTACTTAATTACATTTTATCGGTGAATTCTATTCATTTTAGTAATATTTTAAAATTAAATAGAACAATTTTGCATTCAAAGACTGTTTAGATTATTCTTTGGATATTCATATGTATTTTGTTTACTAATACTTAAAGTTAATACTTCTGCAAGGTGAAATATAATATTATATTTGTTCTTATGCTAGATACATTGCAATATAGATAATTACATAAATACGGAAGATTAAAGAATGATATTCGGTTTTCTGTAGTAAAAGTTGAAAAAATAAATTCTTATGTACGCGAAAGCTATAATGTTTTTATTGCAATAGCTCGAAGTACGGTACACGGTACCGGTGTAATTTGTGTGCACCGGTTTCCTGTGCATTATTCGTTTCTTCGCACATGCCCCGGCACTTAACCCCTATGAGGTATCCCAAGGATATTTGGACTGATGACAGGGGAATATTCCATTACTTTCGACTGATATTCAAAGAGCGAATGACAGTGTATAATATTGTATTGATAAAATTTTTCGTAATATTGTAAGAAATATAAATAATAGGATTTTATATCATTTGTATATCAGTCCATTAACTCCGCCTGTTTTTTTTGTTTGAAAATATTTCCTACATCATTATTATCGGAATAATCTCGTGCCGTGCCCATTCAAGGTCATTTGATATTTGAATGATTAAGTTATTGATTTGTATGAGTACACAAATGTATTATACTTTAAAACTTATAAGTGACTAGTCTCTGCATGATTTTAAATCTGCCAACATATTACAATCTGTAAATATAATTACTGTTGTACCTATATTAAGGTATATATAAAAGTTCACGACCATGTACGCTTAAATGTTAACCTCTAAGGTTAAATGGTCATGGTTTTAAAGATTTTTTAACGGTGATATTCATAAAATGCATACCTACGACTTTCATAAACGCAATTTAGCATCCTATGAACGTATATCTTATAGGACAAATCTCATTGTTGATAAACATCAACCGCTCTCATTAAACAAATGTAAATCTTATGTGAAGTGATGACAAGGATGAATATGTCATCGACTTATTTCGAAATTAGACTTTCTTCGAAGCATTTATAATGTCTCGTGTCATTTCTCAATAGTTTGGAAACTGTCAACTTATACTAATGACTACATATAACAGAAATAACAATAATGAGTAGCATGGAATTCAGTTTGAAAATATATTTAACAGATTGTAAATATCAAGTCATTTATAATATGCTGTCTTTTTAATATGTCTAGTAAGTTTATAAACTGATGAACTTTACAGTAATTCGGTAACACACAATAACATCAGTGATTTGTGACTTGTGACACTAAAAGATGATACCATCCAGTGGGCGACTAAACACTTTAGTTCCTCAGTCGTCCTCGAAACCAACTCCTACAAGTCAAATACCTGTTATTTAGTAGGTACGAATAGATTACTATGTTAATGGACCACTAATAGTTAAAATACTTAATACTGAAACACCAGTCTACATTCCGTTGTCGTTAAAATGTTATTAAATACTTCAATAATGCAGTGTTTTAAGAAAAATGTTATAGTTGTAGTATAAATTTAAAACGAATGCATAATTGGGTGCCTACAACAAAACCAGTCTGGGTAAAATACTAAACACTATCTAACATAAGAGTTGAAGGCTGTTCAAAAAATGTATTTATATGGCTCTACCATAAAATATTAAAACGTTCAGTGCTACCAAATCAACTCATCAGCAGATCACATGGAAAAAACCTTGTTGTATTGAATTTGTTAAGGTTATTACCTTAACAAATTCAATACAAGAATTTTTGTCCAGAAGTGTCCAGAATTGCAATGGAAATTTACAAAGTTGCGTAGGCTGTTCTTGGGTGTTGCACAGATCCCACTGCTTGGTAAGATTGTCTACTGACCTCCATGGCGTCAAAGCTTTCTCAGCAATAAACGACAGCACCAACGACCTCAATAACTCTCATACACGTACACATTCAGCCGCCTTGTGTGTACACGGCATAATTTAACAACATAACGTTCCCTCATAACTTCTGCTTATGATCATAACACAGATTGTAATTTACCCAATGAAATCATACTAGGTGTCTGTGCAGATAAATTTTAGTCTTATGTCATGTTTTAATAATACCAGTTTGAGTAGAGTAGTGACGCACTTTTATTGACAAATGCCTCTGTTGTTTAGAAGTTTGAAAGCAATTAGCGTTTTTATCTAATGGTAAAGGTAATCGATGGACATGTTTGCAAGTTTTATATATTTTTAAATGAGATTCAAATAAGACTCACCAATTGTACGATCTTTAATAATCCTGGCGGTGCTTTAAAATAATCTATGTTAATTTTGATCCAGTCTAGCGGTCCGCCCTGCTGCTGCGGCGGCTGCGCTTGCTGCGGAGAAGGCTTGTTGGGGTCTACGGTCACAACTGTCTCGGGAGCCATCATCCTTTATAATATGTCCTTGGAGGAAGCGAAAAAACAAAAGGTTCTAGGTGTTATAACACGAACACTGTCACTAGAAACTTAGTGCACTAATGGCCCGTAACACATTTTTGTCCAGCGAGCGAGGAAGCGTCGTGTTTATGTCGAGCGACGACCGACGAGTGTAGCGGAGTGGCGCGGGCGCGGGCGCGGAATGAGATTCAGAATGGAAGCCGGAGCCGACCGAGCCGCGACCGCGCGCCGCGCCGCCCGGTGACGCCCGCTGACGGTATTTTATTTTAGCTGTTAGGTTCGAGACATTAATGGGACGGCTGTTAAAACAAACTTACTTTTGACTAATTATTAAGCAATAGATATTGAAGAAAACAATTATCTTATTTACTATAATAATTTTTAAAGCCATGGTTTCATTTAATGATACATATTGTGCAATTTAAATAACCGGTATATATTAACTCGTCGCAAATATACCTTTAAAGATTTTTTATATTTTGGATTATATGTAATTTTTTGGAATATGACTATCTGATTTAATGGAACGTTGACTCGCTTGGCGAAATAGAAAGCAGAACTTCCTATGCATGAATGTTAACCAGCATTTTGAGTAGGTAAGTGGTGACAACTTTCCACCAAACAAACAGCAAACGGAACTTACACCGAGAAACGTTTGAATGTAGAAATTAAGATGTTTCAGACGTTGTGTTGACTGAGAAGACGATCAAGAAAAGGAAAGAAAAGACTGGTCTTAACACACCATGTATTTTAGTTCTCCTCAGAAACGCAAATAGGTTTCAGAATATATACGTGTTTAGCCATGTTTATATATCAGTTTAGTATAATGTCTCACGAAAGTTTGAATAATTTAATAGGTTTCAGAATGTTAAAAAGTAAAAACTATATCATACCTATAAAGTTTTTATTTATTGAAATTGTTGACTTAGTCCGATGCGAACAAGTTCTTGTAAACCTGGTTAAAAATTAAATTAGATTATAAATCAAGTTCTATTAAAACGTTGGAATGTTATAAGTTTTTAATTATTTTGGGTGTAGAAAGCCTTAAGTCTCTCATATTATAAACTCTACTAATTAAGAATAGCGCCTTGCTGATTCCCCGGAGGTAATAAATGAGTCTATTGACACCTATCATTTTACCGCATAGTAACGGCATGGGCGTTGCCAGACGAAGACCGAAGGCTAGGTCTAGAGGGGCAGCTACCATTAATATGGTTTCATTCGAAGTAGTTTTTTATCTATTTTACATTGATGTATTCTCTAAGGGGACGGCTGTAGGGCGACGCCCATGATTGCCGGCAAACTTTAGAAATTTCACGTGGAATACATAAATATGAAAAGATTTGATTATGACCTTGTCTATTTAAAACAACGCAGCGATTAACGCTTCAATATGCATGATGAAGATACGAAATTATTTTCACTGCTAATAATCCAATGAAACGCAACTTTGGCATCGATACGATTTTATTCTATTATATATAGTAAAAGTAGATAGAATGATAACCACTTTATTCAATTTCATCATTAATTTGGTTATTGGATTGTCCATTTTAGGATTCCAAACAAGTTTTTGTTCAGTGAAGTCAGGCCAATACCGTCTGTCGTCGTGGGTGTTTAAACGTAAAAATACATATTTAAATTTCAATTATTACCAAAGATTATATTAAATATTGTATGATTGTAAAAAAATTTAACTAATTCACTTGTCTTGCTTGATTTCGAATAACCGCAGTGTAATAATATTAAGTGATTGATGCGACGTTAGATGCATGCGATATAATTTAAGCAGGCGAAGGACATCACCAAAATTGCTGAGCACATATTACAGTCTGCTTCGTTATTCTTAAATTGCTTGCGCAACATAATATGATGTCATGTGTATTCAGGAAGACTATGCTAAAGTCACGTCGATACTTTGGTCAATGTAATCATGCAATTTATGCGTTATTTTTTAAATTATTTTAGTTTTAGCAAAACATCGTCGAAAAATATGACAACTTATATTTTTTTTGTATGTAGAGCGTCGATGATTCAGGGCTAAGCACTTGACCTGTAATATAAAAGTCTTGGATTTAAATCCCGCCATGTGCGTTCTTTGCGAAGAAATTCAAAGATCAGCATGAAGTCAACCAATCCGCACTGGGCCATCGAGGTTGTCTATAGCCTAGTCATTTCATTCATTTATGATCTAAAAAGCTTATTTCCGAACAGATCCAATTACCGATCTGGAAACGTTAATATCTGTGGCAAAGCGACTTTATAATTTTCTAATAAAACCAAGCCAACCAGGTAGTTAGACAATGGGCTGGAATCGGGAACGCAGTGCAATTATAACGGTTGCTTCAAGCGTTACTCGTATATACCATAACAGTTGTTGCACAGTTAAACAGTAAGCACAATAATGCGCTTCATACCTTCTCCAATAGAATTACGTGAAAAACATTTTTTTACACTTTACAGAAAGTCCATTAAATCAGTTATCGTGAGCTAATTCTGTGACATTCACAAAGATCATTCCCTTTCTGTTAAAATAAATGCCCATACATTACTGATATGAATATGCTGGATGATATTCATACCACTTCAAATTTTAAAGGTTTAGAAGGATTTTAATCTTGGTCTCTAATATATACAAAAGTAATTCTTCCTTATTATAACAGTCGAAGCACGTTAAGAGAGAAACCTCTATAAGCATGTCATTGTCCAGTCTCTCTATAAGCAAGAAAACTATGGCGGTCCTTTACTCTCACTTATCAAGGTTCGACTGTATTCCTATCATTCCTCAGCCACATTCATAGATGCCAAAATTATGTATGTGGCTTAAACATTACCTAATAACTTTAAAAAACAACATGCAAGAAATAAGACTACCTATCCGCAATAACATAGTAATTTTCATGTCTCTTCGCAACCCTCATTGCACTAACTGTTGCCCGCAGATTTGTCCACTGTTATATATCTCTTCTAAAATATTTGCAATTCCTTTCATAATAAAATAGATAACATGTATGGGGAACATAAATCACATTGCTATAGCAGGCAAAACGTAAAAGCTTTTACAGATAAAAAATGGAAAAGAATCGATGAAATCAAAAAAGCTTTTAGTCATCTCATACCAATTTGTTTAGTATCAATATTTATTAACATTTAGTTTAAAAAATGTGTTATGATTATTTTATTATTTATCATTCATATATAAAAGATTATACAAAATATATTATATTAAAAATAGAGCAGCACCGACTGCGGAATCCCATGACTCAAACAACCAGTGTTCAGGGCTGTAGAGATTATTTATATTATTAAATTAATTAATTTGCAAATTAAATGTCATAAAATGAAATATTGGCTAAAAAATTAAGATAGTAAATCTTACTTTTTATTATCTTAGTTTTTACAAATGTGATACATTGGTTGAATGAATGTATTTTAAAGATAAAATTTTACACAGGTAGTCTAGATGTATGCATAGGTTGCTGTTTCTTTTTAATTCAGTATTCAAAATTTAGTCAATATACAAAGAGAAATATACAAGAAGAACATACTCAATGTCATGAATCTCAATGGTAGTTGTATCTTAATGGTTAGTGGATAGTAGTTTTTTTTTTCAACATATTCATGAAATGGTCCATTTTCAGATCAATTCCTTGTCGCCTTGGCTTAGTGCTGGACTAAAAAACAAAATTGTTACCCTATGTATTGTACTTTTGCAAGTAGTATGATAAATAAAACAAAAATTATTTTTTCAAATGTATTGCATTAACCTTAGAAAAAGAAGCCTAGGATCTTTCCTCCCAGATGTTTCCTTCTGGCTTCTTCATGGTCCATTATACCACCACTAGTAGTAAGGACGAGGTATCTGAAAATGAACAAAAAAAAAGATTAGAAACGATCATAACTTTAAATTGGCACTACTTGAATTACTGATAAAATCAATGTTTTTCGAAAGTAAAGGGAAGTGAAGAGTATCATCTGAATTATAATCTAAAGAGACTATGTAATTCTCTTTCAGACCTTATGTAAAATAATGTAAATTGTAATTCTGTCTATTCAGTCAGACTTTTGGTAAAAATGTAAACTATAATTGTATGAAACTACACAGACAATGCTTCCTATGAAAGACAGCATCAATTTGTGTAAGAACATTTTCTATAGCACAATACTTCAAATGACAACCAACAAGAACTATTGGTGATCCGCGGTTATTGTGCTGGTATAAGATCCAAAATGCCCACAAAACTATTCTATTTTCTCAGCTTGGGAGAAAGTGGGATCAATTATTGTTTATGGCCTGTCTCGTTACTAACATCATCTCAATGGACAAAAGTGCCTGACAACACAGTATTCGCTGTTGACGCAGAATTTTTTTTAGTAATTATTGGTTTTACTGTGTGTATGCATTCCACATTAAACTAACAGCTTCATGAGTAACTTATATACACAATTCAAGTTGGCAAGGTAACATGGTTCATCTAAAATATTCATGTTCACTATCCCTCAAAATGTAAAAGACATCAAATCTAAAAACACTAACAAACCTTAATTTTTAAAAATTAGAATGTACTTTATTACTAATTTACAGTCTACTGACTTAGTAACTGAATTACATGTTCTTGGAAAACCTTTTAATATTATTAAACATTTATCATTGCCATTATTGATGGTATGCAATTATGATACACATGTAATTTAATTAAGAGAGTTTTGAAGGATTATGGAAGACAGCATAAGAACTGGTTTATCCTACATTTACACTTAAATTACTCGAAAACTTACCCGAACTGCCGGGATGGAAGGAGGTTAGTCCACCTTTCTATATCGTTGATAGGTACATCAAAACGCGGTGATATTACTCCACATTTGTTTAATCTGCCAGTGAGATTGACTACTATTTTTCCAGCCCTGTGATCATCGACAATTTCAAATTCACCGATGTATCCGTGCTTCATCATCACAGTGAGGAATTTAACAATAACTTTGGAGCAGGGCCGAATGAGCACTTGCCGTTTGCCTCTTCGCTCGGCATTGTGAATTGATTTCAAGGCATCACTCAATACATTCATACGCACCATGGCTGAAATTTAGAAACAATTACTGTAGAAACACTTCACCAGCGCACGGGAGAAGAAATGTCAAAACATATCTAAACAACATAGGTTAACAAGATGTTTGTATGTAAATCACTAAAATAACATTTAAAACAGGGGACACCTTAAATATTGTAAAAGATTTAGTTCAATTTACGTCCATGAATTCGGTAAATTTAATGATTACCTAGGATTTAAAACCCGCCTCAACGTTCAGTAATGACAGGTTAGCCGAAAAGAAAAAGAAAGATTTTTGTGACGCCGGTGTTGCAAACGGTAAAATTGTAAGACCATAGCCTATAGCCACAAATTCATGTTTTACTCTCTATTTAGTTGTCTGTGGCATCTTGTATGGTTCTTTGACATTGAATGACAGGACCCAGAGACCGTTTTATACAGTCACGCCAATTTTATTATTAAGGAGATTAAAACACACACATTCCGACCGCCAAATGCACAAAGATACCAAAAAATACGTAACTTCTGCAATGTCTTACAATTTACCGTATAGGGACAGCGATCAGTAATGTCGATGAAAAGACATTATGGAGATGTAAATTTTTTTCATAGCTTACATCTGTAACTAGACCATCTGTAACTTCTGCGTATAATAGTTCTGATTAAATATATGCCCTATAAATTTTCCTCGTTTTTTTATAAGTGTGAAATTTTGGAGTCAGAGCTCAGTTCTGTTCATAAATTTGTAAGTGTCCGCAATCAGCAAAGCGTGTCAGAATTTATTTAGTATATATTTAGTACAACGGCGGGTTTTATATTGTCCATTTCTACTAGACAAAAATCCCCTATATAGTCCATAATACATTTTTTTTAATTTCAGTCTTACCAATAGAAAAAAAATATTAATGTCAACTCAAAACTAAACATAAACAAGGGTTTAATACCTAACTTAAATGTAGCTTAATACATTTCCAAGTGAATTTAGAATTCGGAAGGAGTTAAACCAAAATGAATAAATGATTAATCTTTTTGTTCTTTCGTCGAATGTTACCAGCCAGTGTAGCCAGTATATACAGTATTCTACCACTTAGCGGAATTAGAACAGATAAATTGATAGATGAATAGATAATGTGATAGAGAAATAGATATTCGCAGAATTTTTTGTACCATACAAAAAAATAAGAAAATTTGTAATTATCAAACTTCCTTTGCTAGTTTAGTTGTAGATTATTTGTAAATGTATTTTTACCAAAAATTGGATTTGTTCTTTTTCCATTTTTATACGTTATAAAATTATATCTTTTTTGATTATTCTAATGATTATGATATTACTTAAAGCATAATTTTAGAACTGATGTGACAAGTACAATTTAGCAGAATTTTTAAGTTACATTCTGGTCACACTATGTGCGACTGAACTCGCTAGTTCGTACGTACGCACGCGTCCCGCTCAAGTCCGACGAGTGAATAACAAGTGATTGTGAAATAAAGTTTGAAGAACTTTCAAAGTTTTTAAATGTTAACAAAATTATAAAAAGAAGTTATGTTATTATTTTCTTCTATAACCGTGAGTTTGAATGTGATTAAGTTAACGTTAAGTTATGAACATGAACTTTTTAAAACTACTTTATAGGGCCCATAAAGTTGAGTGAACTTTCGTACCTTCGTGCCGTTTGGAATCGCGCAAATCACACAGGTGTTATGTTGTGAGAGTTAAATCCTAGCAACCAGTTCAAAAATGCAGCTTTGTTTAAGTATCTATTTAAGTAATATATATTTTTGTCATGAAACAAGTTTAGAAACAATAAGCAATGTGCAATTCTAAGTGGTGAGCAAATACTTTACATCGGGTTATGGAAGAATTAGAACGATTACTAAAGATGTATTCAAGGAAATTTCTTGGGTTCCTGTTAACAACATATTTTTTGATTCAAATTGTAACTGCCTCAGAAACTTCAGGTAAGTCGATATTGATATTTTGTAACTAATCATATTACTATTATATATTCTCTATTTATGTAATAAATTAGTAAATAAAATTAATTTTGTATAAATATCTGACGGTACTTTAAAATAAATCAATAATGAAACGTATTTGTTTAATACCTCAAATGATTTCTTTACATATATATATATAGACATGTAACTAAAAATTATTATATTATATCAAGTGAGTGATCATTCTTAATACATACAAATTCTACAACTTAAATGACATTCTTTATTTAAATACGAGAGGTAAATTAAGTTAAATGAAATTAATATATGTTGAGGTAACATAATATCTCTATCATTTCATTGTTCGAAAGTAATTTAAAGTAAGTTTTTTAGGATCTGATAATATTGTACTAGACTGTATTATTTAATCACTTAGTGTGTAAAAACATTCGTTTACCATGAAATGTAACATAACAAAAGTTAGCTTTAACGATTTAGCAAAAATAAAAATTCAGATCCAAAAAGTCCAGTTCAAATTCGTTATAATGTTCAAAATGTATTAATAATGTAATCAATTAAAAAAAACTATCATAAAACCATGTTTTGCGTATCATAACTCGTAAAAATACAAGAGAAACTCGCGGGATATGATAATTTATAGAAACATACAAGAACAGACAATTTAGCACCATAATGAAGTTAGCTAACTTAGAGTGGATCTAAAATATTCAATTACCAATTACGGTTCAGTTTGCTTGCTTATGCACAGACGTATCTAAATTGCAAAGGATAATCGACTCTAAACGCAACATAATTTATTTAAAATTATGTTATACTAGAAGAAATTAAAATATACACTAATGGTATCCAAAAATTAAATTTATTGGTTTGTAAATCGATAAAGAATCGATAATATATTTATAAACTTTTAGCTTTAACTGTAAAACTTTTAACATAAACCCATTAAGTGGCATGAAACGGAACGCGAACTGACATTATAACAGAATCGGGCTCTTAAATGCATTTTGTTCTTGTGTACAACGATGGGAACTTTAGCCAAGCGAAACGGATCTCAATACGATATTTACAGTAGCGGCTAACGTAATATAAAACTTCTTTGTTTTTATAACCAGTGCATGTCGGTGACTTCACGTACAGAGTATTTACTCTCGAATCCTACCGAACGACATTGTTACTCTGGATGTCATATTTATTAGTGTTATTGAAGTACTAGCTGACTACGTCCGCGCTTAATTAAAAAAAAAAAGTTATTAGTAGCCTGTGTTCTTCTAGACTATGTTCTATAGCCATGCCAATATTTATTTAGCCGTTTTGGATTTACCTTCTAACATTCATGCATCCATCTAAACTTTCGCATTTATAACATTAGTAAGACGCTATTCTTATCGTTGCATAAAGGTAAGAAATAACATCAATGATTATTTCGTATTTCACAACTTTGCATCGATCGTAATATATTCAATTATGAATCATAACGTGTTGATATTTAATTATCCACATAAAAAATATAAAAAGATTATGAACATGCAGAAAAAATGTCGATTGTGGATACATAATTTATTCTCAAGTCCGTTGTACACGGGTCGGGTAAAATATGAGACGACTTTATGACTGAATAACTCTTTCAGTGTTCGAGGACGAGGACGGGCGTACAAGCGGCCTCACAGAAATGCATTCACGAGCACGCACGAGAACCACTCGAGGCACATTTCGAATACATCCTGTAGCGGACTAGCGCTTCTATACCGACATCTCCTTGTGTATTACAAATATTATTTGAATACACTGGATAACAATTACACATATTCACATGATAAGTAAAGAAATTAAAATCCCTGTTCATATTATTAAGCTTAAAAACAACGTCATAAGTATTGTAACGATGTGACTATAAATAAATAATATACATGGTGATATCCTGTGGAAAATAATGAACAAAACGAGTAATAAGTCTGGGCATAATTTAGGAAGTTTGTATGAAAGTTCTTTCTTAAGGCGCAAAAGGAGTGCATGAGCAAGGTAACGTCGGCGGCGGTAAACATCGTCATAAAGGCTGCACTGTGACTCCGCACGCCGCCAGGTTGAAGCAGCTGCTGTAGCTCTCTATGGAGTTATTAATATTGAAGCATGTTGCGACCCGGGTAAATACACCCAATGACGCGTACCCACAATATCAGATTCAGTACAATCTTAAAGCACCACCAACCTTATATTCCATTATTAGTGTTTTGTTTTTAACTTTCTTGCTATCCAAAATGTTAATAATTTCTCATGAACCTACGCAGTCGATAAACTCTGACCCCTACCCTCGTTCTAATTAAATAAACAAGTCTTCTTGGAAATTAGTAATCATCGTAAAAAATCTTATTAAAAGTAACGGAAATTTAATAATTTTGTTAGAAAAAAACAACAATTTGCACAAAGAAGAAAGATAATAAGATTATAAACAGTAACTAAGCTTATTATAAAGTTTTTCGTCAATTGTGGTAAACAAAAGTAGACTCTGTATGATTAATGACAATTATTTAGTATACTTTAGAACTCGTGTTTTCAAGAGTGTGTTCGTCAAATCTTCTTGTGATAAGAAAATCTTTAAGTTGCGCAATTTGTTTAGTTGTTAAAACGTTAAGTGTTATACTGTGTGCGACCGTGAGCAGTAATTAGGAATCACTAAACCGTATCTCGCTGCTTTCACAGTTTTTAGTTTAAACTGTGTCAAATGTACTTACGCAACAGGCGGCTTTGTGACATTTGCACACATAATGTACTGCAGTATATTTATTTCTTTTTTATTATAGTATGTAACAAAATATCTTGAGAATCTAAGAAACATTAATCTACTAGTTTGTTAGTAAAACAAAGATACTTTTGTTATATTCTATAAGCCATGATTGAAATAATTATTCTACAAATTACTGTAATTTGGCGATAGAAGCATCATTTTACCTTAAGGATTGTATTTACTACTTTTGTTTAGATAATTGAAGGGAAATTGCGATAAATATTTTTACTCTAGTATATCATTTATATGTTATCTTCTGTGTTTATTCAAAAGTATTTCGTTAATCATTCAGGATGAGGAATATCTGGGGTGTGGGGTAGGATATCCGTTTTAAGTAATGAGCGGTTTACACCGGGAAACGATAAAGCCGTGAAATTATTGCAGGGAACGCTTTTTATTGTTGCGTTTTTATATCTAAACCAATATAAGTAAGGAGGATATAATACACTTTTACTGTCTAACTAAACTCTCCTGTATTAATAACGGGTTCCAGATTTTGTAGACAACATAATTACGAACCCGTAATTGGCCAGCGTTGTTGACTAATATCTAGTCACCTGGGGGTGACCTATTGGAATAGGCTCTGTGCAACTCGATAAAGTCATCTTCCGACGACTATGACGATAGTAAGGAAATCCCTATAGAATTAGTATGTCGAAATCAATTTAGTTTAATAATAGCGGGAAGTAGAGGTCCAATGAAATAGACAACAATTTGGACAAGAACGATAGCTTGCTAGTATCGTTACATTTCCCCAGTGACTGCTTTCGGAAGTCGACACGACGTTTCGGAAATAATCCAGAGTCCCGTTCGCTACAAGCGGACTACCCCTTCTATATTATTTAAAACAAATCAATCGAAGAAAACCTCAAAGTTTTCACGTAAGGTTACAGGAATATGTGAGTTAAGTTAAACAGTTTTATTTAATAAGTCACTGCTTTTATTAATACATTTATTTTAAAATATTTCATATTTTTTAAAATACAACTGAAAGTCAATTCAAAGTTATCAATTTATGAATACGCTATTCATTGCCTGGCTATGGTAATACGAATTAAATATTTTCTATCATAAGCAGAAAAATAAACTGCCCCAGTTCATTATTTAATGGCATAGCCAGGTCACGTGTCGTTTACTTTGCTATTATATTTCATGAACTGAAGAGTTATTTGTTCACATGGTAACCGTTAAAGTGTTACATTATGAATGTAGTGTATCATGGCAATGTCATAGAAATTTACGTCAGATAATACTAGGTAAGGACTTATGTATAAAATACTGACAATTGATATTGGTAGCCAAAGATAACTTCGTTGTCAATGGATTGAGAGAACATCCTTAAAACAAAGAACGTGTCTATGGATATACATGCAATTTACTAACTTTTTAATTATTTTTTTAATCTTCATTAGAGGCAAATATAATCTTTTGCTGTCATTTTAAATTACATATGTAGCAGTAAAAACTTATTGAACTCGCTTAACTTAATTACTAACTTTTAACATTAAACTATAGTCTAAGCGTGACTTCATTTACTTTGACTTTATTAAATGAACATTTTGATTAATGAACTTAAGGTATATCAGTACCATAATAGCTAATATATTTACATGTTTAATAAACACATTAAGGAATTTTTCACCTAGTATCTTCTGTAGTGCAATGTAATTTAATTTCTTCATTTTTCCTGTAACCAAACAGCAACATAATTATAAGTACAATTGTATACAAATAAGGACTAGAGGTTAAATGCATGTCTTACGCAAGTATGATAAAAAAATAGGTCAAGATTTATACTAGAACTGGTATAAATAAAAAACAAAAGAGCAGACTGTGTTAACTGATAATCATTTTACTTAAAAATATCCGATACATCCGTTTGTAAAGCAGGATAACGTCTTGGCACAGTGCATGGCTGGATTTAGATAATATCGAAGCCAGAACAGACCAATTCGTTATTGTTCGTGAGTATTTCCATACAATATCAATGAAATTCAGCAATGGGAGCGTAACGTAACTTTTACCAGACTTTTATTTCAACTTAGTGTTTCCTCTCGCGCTTTTTATGCTTGAATATGCTAAAACGATGGACCCTAATACATTTTGTTCTTTCTTTTTTGTATTTTTACTGTTTCTAACAATATCTAGGGCAATATTGCTATTTTTATTAAAATTTTAAATGTTAAATGTAATCACATGTATCTTTGTTGTATATTTAAAGGCAGTTTCGTGTCCAGGAATAGTTAAGCATATAAACCAAACCACACCCAAAGCTCTTATGACCACCGTGAGGTGATAAACATTAAATGGCCCAAATCCAAATTTCACAAGGGCCAACCTACGTGACAGGATGAGTTCATTGCCGTTTACATCTTTTGAAATCCAATCCGAGCTCAGAAGATTTTGCTGCTAATCAAAATACTGATGACGCAATAAATATTATTTCACAATGTTTATGTTTATGCCTATAACTAGAAAAAACTATCGCAAATACTTGTACTTATAAATTAATTTTTGAACTTTGTCATAAAAAATTATTACGACGTAACTCGAGTATGTTGGCACGTGCGAACGATTTTCAAAATTTTATAGCAAATACATATCGGGTAATACGTTCTGAACTGCGTATTGCAGAGTTCTTATTGCTCTTTTAGTTTCAATGCTAAAAGTTGATTCTTAAATCACTTTATATGTAATTAACTTCATACACCTGTTTCGAAACATTCTAAAATAATTTTGAAGAAAGTACTTGAAGATTTCTTAAAAGTTTCGAAGATTTAACCTTTGCGACATATTATTTTTGATCAATACATTTACGATTAAATTTCATTTTACACTACAATATGGGGTAACATGAACTAAAAATGTTAGTTATAACTTTTATTTAGTTTTTATAACTTTATTTTTAACACACTATCGAAGCTGAAAATATTTTATTAATAAACGTAACTTGTTTATGTACTTTCAAAATTGTTTTTGATTAATTTAATCCACGTCACTCTTCTTTGAAGTTATAGAATTGAGTTTTGTAATAAATCTGCTTAGTCTGACGTGATAAAATTGGTAACATTTTGTTCAGTTTACACTGTCACATTGTCAGGAATGTAGCACGCTTTTAATAAAATAAGCAACATAATACGTCAAGTTTGCCATTAATTATGGTAGGACAAGACGCCGTACACGACAACGGGAGTCGTTTAAAACGGGACTATGACCATCTTAGTGGAATGGAAAAAACTAAAGTTCCCGTTGCGCGGCTCCTGATGAGGTTGCGAGCAAGTGACACGAATGGAAGGATCGATTAATTTCTATTTTTACTCGTGTTCGTGCTGCCGTCCGGCCGCGGCTCGCGGCTAAACAAAGGATCACCCATTGGGTCCTAAGAGTCTTTTCGTGTTACACCCAAAACTGTCCTATCGACTATCTTAATTTGATTACCGATGGAAATTTTAATTTTTCTTACTTTTACAATGCCGATCAATTCTAATTTAGCTAAATAGGGGTATTTCACTAAAGATTGAATAAGCGTTACCTGACCCTGGTCTATAAAGCTAAATGACCCACCTAACCGTTCACTTAGAAACACGCTTATATGAACATATGTGTGTTGACTGGGGTTACCTGTGTATATTTATAGATTATATTTTTGGTGTCATACATTTATTTGATATAAATAGATAAAATAACAAGAAAAATGAGTATTATGTTTGCATTAAAATTGTACACCAATGTATCAAGTATGTATAATACTTTTTACGAACATTCTATAGAAGTTTATTTACAACCCAGTCACTTGAGTTACAGTTCGTTAGCTACAAGAGAAATTATAAGAGCAATAAAGGAGAAGCCCTTAAGGGTCTAAACGTCATTAAAGTTAAAGTTTTAACAACCTAATTTCGTTGTACCTTTTACTGATGGCGACAAAATTGTATTTGTTGGTTATAGTTAAAGGGTTATTATAAATTGTAATGTATGTATGAGATTGAATATGGATGGTTATAAAGGTAGAGGTACACCGGAGAAAGTATGGATGGATTGTGCGACAGAGGATATGCGTAAAAAGGTAGTGAATTCAGGTGTGACGGTTGATAAAGTCCATGCCATCCATGGATAAATATTCCGTAGATAGAGGCAGATTGATGATGAATGTATAAAAAGAAAATAGAAACGTAACAAATACTTTGGACAATATAATTTTTTTTTTCACAACCAGTACATCGACAAATGTTTTATGAGGCAGCGTCATTTTCAGCTGGACAAAGTTACATTCGCTTAGCCAACTTAATGTAGATACGTATCTTAATATTTTCAATTTGCATTTTGCGTTTTTTCTACCGAAATTATTTTTATCTTAAACAGTTTCGCCTTTTCTTAATAAAATGAAGCTAATAACAGTACGAGCAAGTACATTTCTCTCCCAGCGCCAGTTTGCCCGCTCAATTTATTTTTAAGGATTTTCTTTTGCCCGCGTAAACTATAA